TTCATGAGTATGAAGAGGAATTTATAGATTGGTATCAGACATACGGGCTAATATCCCACTTACGGACTTGATCTGGACTAGGCTGGAATGTTTTCTCAATATTCAATTGCTCTTGTATATAAAGCTCTTTCGTATGCACTTATGAGGGTCTATGAATTTGTTTTTCTAGTCAACCCAGACTAACACAGCTATGTATTTAATTTTTTTAATAAAACAGCCTTATCACCTTTGAGGTACTCTCCATCACACTTAACACATTTGTCAACTCTGTGATTCCATTCTTGGAATCGAACTCATCTGTTTGGATGGCTGACAGCACCTCCCTTGTTTTTTTCTTCACCTCTTTTATGTCAAATCATTGTCCTTTCATGTCCCTCTACGTTCGCACAGATAAGAAGTCACACAGAGCAAGGTCAGGTGAGTCAGGTGCATAGGGCAAGAGAGACATGCTGTTTTTTGCTAAAAACTGGCACACTGAGATGGCTGCCTGAGCAGGTGCATTGTCGTGGTGGCAAAACCAGTCCCCTGCCTGCCACAAATGAGGCCTTTTTTGTTGCACACTGTTAACACTATCTTTTTAGAACCTCTAAATATAAAGCTTGATTAATAGTTTGACATGGTGGAATGAATTCCAAATGCACTCCAAGTTGACATACGTCCAGAATGAAGTTTGTAATTAATTGACATTTCATGCATGGCCTCAGTTCCAAAAACCAAAAAGAATTTTAAAAATAGAAAAAGAAAAAAAAATCGACATTTCATGTTTTCTAAAACGAGAAAACCACTTGTACACTTGAGTTTGTCCCATAGCACAGTCCTTGCAAGCTGTGTTCAACATCATGACCGTTTCTGCAGCATTTTTCCCAAGCAGGAAACAGAATTTCACAGCCACACCCCATTCTCTCAAATCAGCCATCATAAAAACGAGGTTCGAACAGGAGCAAAGCAAAGCCACAAAACCCCTGAGGAGTCCCAAAAATAGACTTCAGGTTCAGAGGGGCAGTTCCCAGAACCCCCCAGGACCGGTGGGGAGAGAGTCATAAAGGTCAGCAGACAGACATGGAATTATGTATGCTTTTTTGGTTTTTTACTAGTGTTTTTTTGTTTTCATTTCTGTTTTTCCTCTTTAATTCAATCTTTTGTTTTCTTTTTGTTTTGTGTCTATTGTTGTTGCTTTGCCGGCCGATATAAGGTAAGCATGGGAAGCAAGCTCAAGGGAAAGCAACGGGACCCGTGGTTATGGAGGGACCTGGGGCAAGGAGGAGGCAGGGGAAAGGAGCAGTGAGCAAACAACGCCATAAACTGGGGAACTTCTAGGAATTAAAAGCAACAAGGAGGACATAGAGATCCTCGGGGCGTTGGAGCAACATCATCTAGATGAGAGGAATTACTACAAGGCAGAAGAAGGGTCAGCATGATGGTGGGGCAGGAGGAAACAGGAAAGATCTTGGAAGCAAGGCTATGGATACAGGTATAAGCATAGGTGAGCGCTCATGTAAATATATTAACTCATAAAAATAGATGTATTGGCATATGTGCATATATTTATACAGCAGTACCTTTAGGAAATAGATGGACTTTGGGCCTCTGCTCAAGCTGTGCCTCAACACGGGATCACTTAGTTCTAACAACCTGGCATTCTGTGATGCTCACCCTCCCAACACAATCATTGAAGACAAAGTGGGTGCATAAGCAAATGTGTTAGAAAGCTGATGGTTCCCAGCAATCAAAAGATGTAGTGTCTGGGGTCTTAAAGGCTTGAAATTAGACATCCATCTAGCAGTGAAGCAACAAGCCCACCTGGAAGAAGCACACCAGCCTGTACAATCATGAGGTGTCGACAGAATCAGGTAACAGGCACGAGAAGACCCAAAATAAAAAAATTAAGAAAACATATTGTAGTGAATGAGGGGGCTTGGAACAGAGACCCCAAACCTATCTGTAGACAGTAGATAGCCACTTATAGAAGGGTCACAAGGAAGGGATGAGTCAACCAGGGCATAGTATGGCACTGATGAAAAAAAATATTCCTCTGGTTCTTTGAATCTTCCTGACCTCACCACCCAGCCCTACCTTTGCATTCTGGCTAGATGGGAGCTTGTACACTGGTACAGATAAGAGCTCATGACACACGGAATCCATGTCAGATAAGCCTCTGGGGAACAGATATGGGAGTAGTGATACCAGGAAAGTAGAGGTAAGGTGGGGGAGGAGCAGAGGAAGGAGGAACTGATCACGATTGATGCATAATTCCCCAGCCCCCCTAGGGATGAACATAAGTGTAAGATATGAAAACAGTAATTTATCATTTATCAAGGGGTAACCCGGGGCGG